GTGCCCTAAATGTCTTCCACATTTCTGCCCTTGACCTACTGAATTCTATTCTCAAAGTAAGTGCTAAGGTGTACTTGCAGACACATTCCAGATATGTAAATTCTCTTTGCAATGTTTCCCCCACCTTACAGAGACACATCCAAATGCCTTATAAAAGATATCATCCTTTATGGTGAATCCAGGAACTTTTATTCCCCATCAGTAACTCTCCCTCTTGTTACCTCAATCTTGTTCATTTATAAGGGCAAGCATAGCCCCACCTCAAGACTTTGAACTTAACTGTGCACTCTGTCTGGAACATTCTTCGAGTAATCATATTTTATCATTAATTAAATCTCCCTACCAAATTTCTGTTCTGGTTTCAACTTATATAGAGCTTGTCTTATAAAAAGGAACATGTGGTTGATGGAATTATAGACTGAAGTGATATTCAAGTCCTAAATCCTACTACCTGAGAATGTGAGAATGCTAGCTTACATTACAAGTGGCATCTGTCAAACATAAGTCAATCAAGAATTATTTTTAAAGATTTATTTATTTGAAAGGCAGAGATAACAGAGGAAAAAGGAAGGAGAGAAACAGATCTTCCATCTTCTGCTTTACTCACCAAATGGCTGCAATGGCCAGGGGTTGGCAGGGCCGAAACCAGGAGTCAGGGAACCCATCAGAGTCCCCCACATGGGTGGAAGGGGTCCAGGTATTTGAGCCATCTTCTGTTGCTTTTCCAGGTGCATTGGCGGGGAGCTAGATTGGAAGCACAGCAGGCAAGACTCAAACTGGCATTCTGATACAGGATGCTGATGTAAGCAGAGACTCAACCAGCTGTGCCACCATGAGCCATTTTTACTCCTTTAACTACATAGTTAATTAACAAATTAATTCAATCAAAGATCTTGAGATAGTTAGATTATCCTGGATTATTTAGGATGACACTAAATATAATGAAAAGTGTTCTTATAAGAGGCAGACAGTGAGATCTCTGATGATATTCCCATGCTACTGCCTTTGAAGACAGAGGAAGGGGCCATGAGCCAACTCACGCAATTATAGAAACTCGAAATTGAAATGAAATGGATTCGTTCCAAGAGCCTCTGAAAGGAGTGTGGCCCCACTGACAACATTGATTTCATAATAGTGGAATTGATGTTGGACTTAACAATTTCCAAACTGTTAGGGAATAATGTTTCTTATTTTGGGACACGGGTTTTATGGTAATTGGTTATGGCAACAGCATGAAACAGACTGTGTAATAGAGTACTTACCGCCTCATTCTATTCATAATCCCCTTCTTTACTTTTCTTCATGGTGGTTATTATTGCATGTAGTATATTCATATAAGTTTATCTCCTTAACAGAGTGTGAGCTCTTAAAACATTAAGTTTTTCTTGCTCACTGCTTCATCTTTAGAAAATATATTTCTTGGCAGAGAATAGTGAACATTACATATTTATTGAGTACATTAAAGTACATGTGCATAAAATAATTTGCTGAAGTTTAACAATAAGTTGCTAAATTAGTATCATGGCTTAATAAAATACGTGAAATCAAATAGCTTAATTTTTGAAAACAATATATCCAATAGATATAGCTTTGGTGCTTCTTGTCCCTCAGAAATGAGATTTCAAAATTCTTGCTTTGATGATTTTAAAAAGCCAACATTCAAAAATGTCATTATACAAGGATGCAAAGGGAAGGCTGTCAAGTTAAATGACAATGCTAGGTACAAGCATTTGATCAATGATTAACATACCAATGGTATTCCTGCAACCCATACAGAAGTGCCTCAGTTCACAGCCCAGCTCTGCCCTGACTCCAAGCTTCCTACAAGCAGCAGATGATAGCTCAAGTAGTTTAGTTTAGTTTAGTTCCTGTCACTCGTGTGGCAAAATCAGATTGAATTTCTGGCTGTTATGGGCAGTTGGAGAATGAACAGCACAATCTTTCTCTCTCTCTCTCTCTATATATATATATATATATATCTATATATATATCTTTGTTTTTATAATCAAATAAAAAGTGTGAAAAATTTAATTACATTGCCATTAAAAACATTTGAAAAAGAGATAGATACAGTGATAGACTTACTTACTGTTTCACTACCCAAATGCCCTCCACACCTGGGACTAGGTCAGGCTAAAGCTTGGATCCAGGCCAAAGAACTCAACATGAGTCTTCAACGTGGTTGGCAAAGATCTAGCTTCTTGAGCCATCACCTGCAATCTCCCAGGTTGTGCATCAACCAGAAACTAGAATCAGAAGCAGAGCAAGAACTTAAATCTAGGGGCTTCAATGTGGTCCTTGGCCATCCCAAGGGAAGTTTATGCCAAATGCAGCATTTTTATTTTTTTTAAATAAGTCCTAATGTAAAATGGTGCACACATTGTGAAGAGAGTATGGAGATACCTCATAAATATGAAAATAGATCAACCATATGACCCAGAAATCCCAGTCCTGGGGATTTACCCAAACAAAATTAAATCAGTATATCAAAGAGTTAACTGTACCCCCATACTCACTGCAGCTCAATTCACAGTAGCTAAGGTATGGAATCAACCCAGATGTCCATCAACAGATGACTTGGTACAGAAATTATGGTAGATATACACTATGGGATACTACAGAGCAGTAAAAAAACATTTCATTGTCCTTTGCAATAAAATGGATGCAACTGGAAACCATTATACTCAGGGAAGTAAGCCAGTCACAAAAAGACAAATACCATATGCTCTTCTTGATCTGTGGTAACTGAATAATACCTAAAATAATGTATTGGAGTGAAGCTGACATTTTGAGATTCAATGATTGTTTACAGCCCTGTAGAGACTGTTGAGGAACAATGTTTATTCTGTTCACACTGTTTTTTTAGAGATTTTTTTAAGATTTATTTATTTTATTTAAGAGTTACACAGAAAGAGAATCTGCTTGGTTCACTCCCCAATTGGCCACAATTGCCAGGGCCGTGCCTATCTGGAGCCAGGAGGCAGCAGCTTCTTCTGGGTTTTCCATGCAGGTGCAGGGCCCCAAGGACTTGGGCCATCTTCCACTGCTTTCCCAGGCCATAGCAGAGAGCTGGATTAGAAGTGTAGCAGCCGAGACTTGAACCGGCACCCATATGGGATGCTAGCACTGCAGGCGGCAGCTCTACCCGCTATGCCACAGCACCAGCCCCTCATAATGTTTTTTGAACTGTTCACTTAGTGTAGGGTTAATCTTATAAATAAAAGTAAACTGAATATAGATCTTTGTAAAAACTAAGAGTGTGTATAAGAGAAAGAGGAGGAAGAAGTGTGGGGGCATGGGTGGTCCTAAATCTGTGTATATGAAATACATGAAATCTGTATTTACCTTAAACAAAATTTTAAAAATAATAACAGAAAAAGGAAAAAAATAAGTCAATAATGTGGGGAGCAATTCGGACTGGACTAAGTTACTGGAATTAAGACTTATTCTATGCATCTGCTTTCCCACAATATGGCGCTGGGAGAGGAGAAAACAGCTTCTACCCAGCTGCCTCTCACCAACTTGACAAGCTGTAGGACTTGCTCCTGATTGGAGGAGAGCAGCGTACTCGGCGTGTGGGCAGCCGAGTTAGGATTGGCGGAGGAGGACTATAAAGGAGGAGAGAGACGGCATGCACTAGGAACATCTAAGGGGAACATCTAAGGGGAACCCCTGTGCAGCCCCCGAGAGAGCCGGCCGGCGGTGTGCCGCTCCCCTACGGAAGTGGGGAATGTGGCCAGGGGGAACTGCCCTTCCACGGAGGTGGAAGGGATAGTAGCCAACCCGGGAAGAACCAGCAGCAAACCCGGGGAGGGCCGAGCAGACGAAAGAACAGCGCAGGGTCCTGTGTCGTTCCTCCACGAAGAGGGGGAGCGACATAATGGTGCCGTGACTCAGATAGGAAGCCTAGGCAGGATCCTGTGTCGTTCCTCCACGAAGAGGGGGAGCGACAAATAATAAATATCAAATGAAAAGACTGATATGCTTCTTTTCTCCAAACTCAATTCTACTCAAGGGCACAGTTATTCATTTTCCAAGTGGAGAAATGGAGCAGAGGGTGAAGTAAATAAAAGACTGAGAGCTGAAGTTTGGAAAGAGAGGTCTCTACCTACTATGGAAGTCCGCACATGAGCTTCAGCAGGTGTGAAAAATTAGGAGCAGGAATGCCACAGGACACCAAGATTTGTCATCATAGTATGCTCCCTATGGAAGCACATGATTTTTTTTTTAAGATTTTATGTTATATATTTGGGAGGTAGTGTTATAGACAGTGAGAGGGAGAGACAGAGAGAAAGGTCTTTCTTCTACTGATTCACTCCCCAAATAGCCACAACAGCAGGAGTTACACCTATCTCACCGGGAGCCAGGAGCCAGGAGCCAGGAGCCAGGAGCTTCTTCCAGGTCTGCCACACAGGTGCAGGGGCCCAAGCACTTCGGCCAGCATCTGCTGCTTTCCTAGGCCATAGCAGAGAGCTGGATTGAAAGAGAAGCAGCTGGGACTAGAACTGGTGGCCATATGAGATGCCAGAGCCTCAGGTGGAGAATTAACCTACTGTGCAGGATTTATACAAAGGTGCTGCAACAAGTTCATGGGAAATGAAATGAAAAAACGAGTATATTGCCATAAAATATTGTGGGTTTCTTCGTATATGCCATAGACTACCAGAGATTTGATACTGGACTTATCGGAATTTGAATCCAAGTTCCGTTACTAGTTTGGGGGCATAACAGAGTTTTTTATGTATCACTTCTATATGAGGTAAACACTGTGAACCAGGAAATGAAATCTTCAATTCCAAAAATTTTTAATCACTTTATGTGGGCTGTTTCGCACATATATTGTCATTGCTGAAGTTAATCTCTTTTATTCATCTAACTATAGGGTAATCTTAAATGTCGCATGCTGTTGTGGATACTGGACTCTGGAGGAAACCGTAACATGCTTCATTTTAGTGATATCATCATACTCTGCAACCAAGGAGATTTAGAATCCTGAATGCATGGCAGGTTGGAATCATACAAGTGTGAAGGAATTTCTTCTGGTAGGATTAACTGAAAACCCCAATTTGAAAATCCCTTTATTTTTGCTTTTCACTCTAATTTATGTCATCACCCTGGTAGGTAATTGGGGGATGATTGTCTTGATCTGGTTGAATGTCCATCTCCACACTCCAATGTACTTCTTTCTTAGCAATCTCTCCTTTTGTGATATCTGCTACTCCACTGTCTTCGCTCCTAAGATGCTGGTCAATTTCCTATCCAAACAGAAGTCCAGTACATTTTTTGGCTGTGTTCTACAGAGTTTCTTTTTTGCAGTGTACATAACCACGGAAGGCATCCTCCTGTCTGTGATGGCTTATGACCGTTATGTGGCAATCGCCAACCCCCTGTTGTATAAAGTCATTATGACCCAATGCGTTTGTACTTCCATGGTCCTTGCATCTTACCTGGGTGGGCTCATCAACTCCCTGACACACACAATAGGTTTGCTCAAACTCGACTTCTGTGGTCCTCACACTGTGAACCATTTTTTCTGTGACATCCCCCCTCTTTTGAAGCTTTCGTGCTCTGATGCTCATAATAATGAAATGCTGCTTTTGATCTTCTCTGGGGTCATTGCAATGTTCACTTTCATCATCATCATGGTCTCTTACACCCGCATCATCATCGCCATCCAGAGAATTCGCTCTGCTGAAGGGAGGCGGAAAGCCTTCTCCACTTGTGTTTCCCACCTGACTGCTGTGACCTTGTTCTATGGCTCTGTGACTTTTAGCTACATTCAGCCAAGCTCTCAGTATTCCTTGGAACAGGAAAAGATCTCTGCTGTGTTTTATACCTTGGTGATTCCTATGCTAAACCCTCTGATTTACAGCCTGAGGAATAAAGACGTGAAAGACGCAGCAAAAAAGTCACTTTGGTGGAAGTGAAACCCTATGTGACTCAGCCCTACCTATGCTTTGCTAATATAACATTAATCTTGAAATAGACAGATTTCCTTCAAAATTTCACTAAAACTTCAGCCAGAAATAAAACTACAAGTAAAACAGATTCTCTAGTGGAATTTGGGATATGAGGGTAGAGTTTGACAGGAAGATAGAAAGATCACTCCATTTCATCATTCACTTTATTGGTGACTAAAAAATGTTTTTTCAAAAGCTTATAAAAATGTTTTTCTCAGAAATTTTCAAGCTAAAATCTGGAGAATTTTATCAGAGTGTTAAAAAGAATCTGACATTAATTCTAATAAAAAAGATGCACAAAGAATAGGCATCCACCAAATACATTAGTGTTCAGAGAATAATGGAGATATCTCTTGGTGGACAGTTCTTAGAGCAAATAATTTCGTTGCTGTTATAAAACTACTGTCATCAAATTGAATATATTTTGAATTTATATTGTGATTCTTAATAGTACCTTGGTGGGGAAAATCTTTAGAAGAAATAAGCCTCATTATTTATAGATCATTTATTCAACATACTTCCATTGAAAACATTTATTATGCCAATTACTTTGTGATAAAACACATAAAGATTTAAGCGATGGAGCAAAATTTATTAGTGTAATAAGAACTATAGGAATCATATATGGAACATGTTAAAGATACGAAAATCTGGTAAGTTTGGCTCTAGAATGGAATTTTTAACTGGAAGCAATGGGCAGTAACTTTGTCAAGTTATGTGATAACAGGGTCATATAAATGAAATTCCTTCAATTTTTCGATAATGTATTTGAAGAGTTTCTCAAGGGTTAATAAGTAAAGCCCTGATTGAAAATTAAATGATATGCTTTAGGGAAATATTTATAATGTCACTTTTATCAACATGTTGGAAGGTAAGTAGAATAAGTTGAAGGGGGAAAATACACAAAATTATAGAGAAATAAAATTATTCTGAGTAGATCAGTGTTGTAGACCAGCAATAAAGAGAAGGGGACATATGCAAAGAGATATTTCATCAAGGTTATCAACAGAACTTGAGAAAGGCTTAGAACTGTGGTTTTATTTTCATTTTATGGAGAAAGGGTGTATAATAACTGGAAAATTTTGATTCTGTAATTAGTTTGATTCATTACTTAGAAGGAAAAGCAGTGTGGTGAGAATCTGAGTGTCACACAAGTTTTATAGAGAAGGCTTTCTAAAGGTTCACTTATTAAAAGGTAGAGATACAGAGAGGCAGAGGCACAGAGAAAGAGAGAGGTCTCCATCCACTGGTTCACTCTCCAGATGGCCGTAACGGCTGAGCTGTGCCTATCTGAAGCCAGGAGCCAGGAGCTTCTTCTGGGTCTCCCATGTGGGTGCAGGGGTCCAAGACTTGGGCCATCTTCTACTGCTTTCCCGGGTCAGAACAGAGAGCTGGATCTGAAGTGGATCAGCTGGGACTCGAATCAGTGCCAATACGGGATGCTGGCACTGCAGGTGGCGGCTTTACCCGCTATTCCACAGCACTGGCCTGGAGAAGGCTTTCTAAGGAAAGGGTTTGGCCAGGAACTAAGCTCCGGTGTCATAAGATGTTCACATATCAGCAGTAGGATCAGAACTGGAGCAAAGAGCAGACGGAGAGAAAAATCTAAAAGGTAGACCCAATCATTTGTGATGTAGTAACTATGGGACTCCTAGCTCCAGTGAAGTGAAAGGCAAGTGACTTAATTTATACATGAAAAACTGACATTCACCAGGATTAAATTCCTGGCTTCTAACTTTAGCCTGGTCCAGCAAAGGCCATTGCTGGTATTTGGGGAGTGAACCAGTGGATGGAAGATTTCTCTCTTTCTCTTTGTGTCTCTCCATTTTTTTAATACTAATATATTTCATATATTATTGTTTTATATTTGATATACAATGTGTATCATTTATACATAATCCAAACATATATAATATGAATATGTTATTTAAAATATTTAATTTATGAATTTATATATTGTTGCTATTATAACAATAAATATTTTAAATACATGTATTTAAAAAAAAGGTTGCCTCTGGCTACTGTATTAATAAGGTTGCCTCTGGCTACTGTATTAATACAAATGAAGGTTATGAAAGACTCTTGAGGGAAGGAAGGAGCGGGTGGTGCAAGGCTGTTTAACAGGTACTAAGTTATAGTTAAACAGGAGTGAAAAGATTTGGACTTACACTACACAGTATGAGACCACAGATAATGCTAACAGAATGCATAATTCTTTCTTTCTTTCTTTCTTTCTTTCTTTATTTTTTATTTATTAATTTTTTGACAGGCAGAGTGGACAGTGAGAGATACAGAGAGAAAGGTCTTCCTTTTGCCGTTGGTTCACCCTCCAATGGCCGCCGCAGCCCAAGCGCTGCAGCCGGCGCACCGCGCTGATCCGAAGGCAGGAGCCAGGTGCTTCTCCTGGTCTCCCATGGGTGCAGGGCCCAAGCACTTGGGCCATCCTCCACTGCACTCCCGGGCCACAGCAGAGAGCTGACCTGGAAGAGGGGCAACCGGGACAGAATCCAGCACCCCGACCGGGACTAGAACCCGGTGTGCCGGCGCAGCAAGGTGGAGGATTAGCCTAGTGAGCTGCGGCGCTGGCGATAATTCTTTTTTAAAACACTGGAATAAAAGATTTTGAATGTTTTTACCATAAAGAAAATTTAAAAGCTTTAAATATAGACATTACACAATGCATTTAATATATTGAAACTTTACATCATGCTATAAAATGTGCAATATTATGTCTATTAAAATGTTTACAAACATAAAATGGTAATAATAAACAGACCATAGAATGGCAAGAGTAGGAAAAAGAAGCCTAGATAAGAGGCCACATAATAATTCAGGTGAGTAGGTATCACGTCAAGCAAGAGCTGTTCTAATGAGGCTTGTTGAAAATAAAAATACAGGATATATTGTGAAAAGCCACCACAAAACACACCAAACACCGGAGTAAGGGAGAAGATTTAGTGACCAGGGAAACTTGAAGGCTGGAGGGAGAGAGCGAAAAGAGGCCTTATTAGAGATTTGCAGGGATGAGGGAGTGAGAACAGCAGATCCCCTTAGAGTGGGGGTGGGGTTGCCACTTCTGGTTGGGCCATTTGGTCACCTGAATCCTAGGAAGCCAGGCTGGGTCCTGGAGAGGCCAAACTTAGCACACAAGTTGGCAGGTGGGCCAGAGCCTAATGTGGTGTCCCGGGCTGGGCTCTAGATGGCACCTCAGATAAGATGGCACCATTTCACTAATGTGATGCAGAGAGGGGCAGGTTAGCAAAAGAAAGACAAGTAAAAGAAGGCTACAATATTTTTTCAACGGACAAGGAGACACAGATAAAAACATCCTCCCAAATTTACAGACCCTTACATGATACTTAAAATGCTGACCATATGACACATCAAAAAAGTCTCAATGTGTTCCAAAGGATGACATGTACACATTTTATAATGACAGACAACATACTTAAATTTGCTAAATCATTTTTTTTCATTTGAAAAGAGGGAAAATGATATCACCTCAAAATTTCACAGATGCCAGTCATTGTGGGAAGATAAATGCTAAATTATCTCATATTACATCTCACACTGGGGGAAAGTGTGAACATGTACTGCATATTAAATATCTCACTGTTATATAAACATAAATATTGGTATACACACGGAGACACACACACAAATAGAGAGAGAGGGAGAGAGGAAGAGGGAGAGACAGACAGAAATGGGTAAAGATAAACAGCATTTCGGCAAAAATACCTGGAAAAGCAGGATAAGATAAAAAAAAATCATCTCTTGAAATGCGACTAAACAGCCATTAAGGAAAAGAGAACTAAAGTGGCTGCAAATTTAGAGCAGTGTAACCTCAGAGAAATGGGACAACTTTTACCACACTGATTCAGGGCAGACTTTAAAATCCATGGTATCTTGCATAAGGACTTTGCCAGTGTCAGAGGAAGCAGTAGTCTTTTTGAAGATATTTTGTGGCCAGCGCCGTGGCTCAATAGGCTAATCCTCTGCCTGCGGCACCGGCACACCGGGTTCTAGTCCTGGTCGGGGTGCCGGATTCTGTCCCAGCTGCTCCTCTTCCAGTCCAGCTCTCTGCTGTGGCCCGGGAGTGCAGTGGAGGATGGCCCAAGTGCTTGGGCCCTGCACCGCATGGGAGACCAGGAGGAAGCACCTGGCTCCTGGCTTCAGATCAGCGCCATGCACCGGCTGCAGTGGCCATTGGGGAGTGAACCAATGGAAAAAGGAAGACCTTTCTCCTTTCTCTTTGTTTCTCTGTCTCATATCCACTCTGCCTGTCAAAAAAAAAAAAAAAAAAAAAAAAAAGAAGAAGAAGAAGAGAGAAGATACGTTTCAATTTTCATCTCATAAGATTCCGTTTCCACTCAGGACAAATCCTTAGCCAAATCCTGCACCTGAAGAGGCCTAGAGACTATACAAATAGAGAAAGCAAAAGATGGATATAGACTGGTACAGACACACATAGAAAGATACAGAGATAGACCCCTAGAAGCCAGGCGATTACGTGGACAACTGACAAGCAGACAGGAGCTTCTGGTGAGTTTCAAGCAACACAAAGCCATGACCCCCACAGGTGGGCTACCGCTTCTGGTCGTGTGTCCTGTGCCTGTTGTGGGGAAGAAGAATACAGTGGATTGTTGAACGTTTAAGTGGACTGGGAGGTGAATTTGCTTCTATAGGGAATTAATCAGACACTTGGTTTGGGGTTGGGGAATATGGGGTAGAGGAAATTTATAGGGACTGGAGACAGTGAGAGATACAGAGGCAGAGAGAGGGAGACCTCTTATTAAAAACTCTGAGAAGTCCATGGCCAATAACAAGGACAAGCAGAACAGGATGGGTTCTAACTCCGAACAAGTCTAGCAACATCCCGATTAATAACTGAATTAGCATGATCCACAATCCACCTTTAAGCTTGTAGGAAAAACAAGACTCTCTCCTGTTGAGAATAAAGTCATCTT